TCTTACACTGATAAATTAGGGACGGCTAGCGCAGATAGCCCTCGTGTAGCTTTGCGCGAAATTAAGAAACAACAAAACAACCTACAGTTCATTGCCGATAGGGGCCTGTACATTGTATGTTATTCAGTATTTTTGCTTGGAACGACATTCATTACAAAGAACTGGCCAAAACAATTTGGTGAAATCACTCATTTTCTATGTAAAATATATAGAGGACCCCAGCAGTATTTAGAAAGATTAGTCGCAATATTGAGGGTATTAAAGTCCTCCCGCAACCAGTAAAGCCAAGAACCCACAAGAAATTCGGTACATCAATAGTTTAAAAAATATATTTAAAAAGCCGATGTGGCCCACCTGGATCCGTCAGTAATTTTAGGATTAAGCTAAAGTTACACAAACTTCGCGATAGTAAATAGCCACTTTTCAACAACGCATCTTACTGAACATTTGTTTCCTAAGTTACATTTCTTTTTTAGCAGATATGTTTATATAAAATACATAATTTGTATTTTATTTTGAAAATTCTGTAGTTTCAAAAAATTAAATACAAGTTCAATAATCTAAATTATAAAGACCAACCTTGCCAGTTTTTTAGTTGAAGTGCCATCTGTTGGTAAATACTCTTTTATATTTTCAGAATTTTACGCATATAGATTTATAAATACAACTTGATCACGAACCACAGCAACCGTACTTTTCTTTTTAAGGAATTTTACTTTTTTTAAGCTAACTGAACGTTCGGTGCAGATAAAAAAACACAGAAAGAGAGAGAGAGAATTCGTTACTCAGTTTAAGCTTTAAAATAAGCAGTTATTCTATACCTGGAACAGTATATTCCGTAACATTTTTAAACAATTACGATCTATTTATTCTATATTCTGTAGCATTTTTAAACGAATAACGATCTATTTATTCTAATATTTAACATTTTAACTTATTGCATATATCGCCCTAAGGTGGCTCAGCGGTAAGTCTGCGGATTTAGAACGCCAAAAATCGGGTTTCGATAGACGCTGTAGGCACATAGCCCATTTTGTAGCTTTGTGGTTAACAATCCTGGTCCAAGTGTTAGATCCCCTCCAACCTTTTCCACAGTTCCTGTACCCAACATTATTAGCCCTAACGCCATCTGGGTCCTTGAACTACTAGACATTGTTTTCGAGCTAACATTTATTATACAATATTTAACACTCAATGACAAACAACAATATAACAAAAGTCATTCTAGCGTGAAAACTACTTATTACAATTTGTTTTCAAATTTAAATCAGTTTTATTTAAGTACTAGATAATAAAATAATTTATTTACAAAATATTGTAACTACAATCAATCTAATATACGAAAAGGAGACAAGAAAGCAAAAGAAAAGGCTTTGTAAAATCATATCCCTGCAAGAAAGAAGTCCGAGTGATTATAATATACACACACCCATTATCAAAACTACAACAAAAACGGTGCATATATTAAAAACATCACCACGGCACAGGCTATAACGTGGGATATAAGGTGTGCCCTGGGTTTTAAAGGTGACTGCGAAAGTAGAACCAAAATTGCGGTGGGAGATACACAGTTTAATCAGTCTTAACGTTACTCCGTTCGCTAGTCTCACATGTTAAAGAAAGAAGAACAAAGATAAAATAAGTTAGGAGACAGTTGTGGGAAGATGACGGTTTTCAAAGGAAATGTAAAATGAAAGAATAAAAACAAAATAAGGTCATACTATTGGGGGTAAAGGTTCTACACCATTTTACTGCAGTAGTAAATGACTACCGGTGCAACAATTAATTATTTCATTTTAAGATTTTTTGCATTTACAGAAATTAGATTATCGGAATAACATAAAAGCAAACATTATCATGTCATGTCAAAAAACCTTGAACATGAAAATTAAGTCACAAAATTTGTACCCTTACATACATAAATAATACAGTATACGTATTTGTTATATAGTGACAGCCTTTTTTTCCCAGCAACTTATTCAGTTATCTATTATCCTGTTTTTCCAGCAACTTATTCAGTTACTTTATTATTCTGTTTTTCCAGCAACTTATTCAGTTATTTATTAATATGTTTATCAGCAACTTATTCAGTTATTTATTAATATGTTTATCAGCAACT